ATATGCAGAAGAAGACAACTGGTGAAGCAGCAGCCTCTGCATCAGTGAGCCTCAACATAAACAGAGGAAGAATCAAGATCTTCAAATACAACATGGAGAACACCAATGCAATCACATTTGATGGAGAAACATTGGAAGAAGTGGAAACTATCACGTAGCTGGTCAACACCATCGATGAATAAGGAGGGTTTGACGTAGACGTAAATGTGAGGATTAGCAAAGCAAGGGCAGCATTTCTACAGTTGAGGAACATATAGAACTCAAAACAACTGTCAACCAATATCAAAGTGAGAATCTTCAATACGAACTTCAAGACAGTTCTACTGTAGGAAGCTAAAACTTCGAGAACTACTACAAGCATCATCAAACATGTACGAGTATTTATAAACAATTGTCACATTAGATAGTGAATGTTCGTCGGGAGAATATCATCAGCAACAGCCTACTGTGGGAGAGAAAAACCAGGTTCCATCTGAAGAGGAAATTATGAAAAGACTTTGGAAGTGGATAGGATATACATTACGGAAATCACCAAACTGCATCACGAGGAGAGCTCTAACGTGGAATTCTGAATGGAAACTGAAAAGTGGCAGGCCGAAAAACACACTACGTTGGAAATTGGAAACAGACATGAAAAGGGTGAATAGAAACTGAAAAGGATTTTCCAGAATAGAGTTGGATGGAGAGTGCTGGTGTGCGGTCTATGCTCCTCTACGAAGTGTAACAGCTGTAAGTATTTCAACCTATTATCAGTAGAATTTCGTAAAAAGAATTATCCATTCTTAGTGGATTTATTGATTGAATATATGTCGACTCTTTCTGTCACAGTTTAAATCATATTTATATTAATTATGTTTTATTGAAATGTCACAATTTTATTATGGTAATCTCTGGTATTTTCTATAGCTATTCCAGATAGTGTTCAGTGTGAACCAATTCATGTTAGGTTTAATACCTAATTAGTTCAGAAATTCCGTTATTAATACACCAGTACACAACAGGAATATAAATAGCCTCCAGAAATATGTAACAAAACATTTGGATGAGGTACCTCATTGAGTTAGAGACTTTCAGTTTATTGGAACAACAATTTGCTTTATTACATTGATGTCTTATCTACGTCTCAAAAGAGGTCATATGAAAACTATTTTGGAGTTATAGTTTACATTTATTAAACGGAAGAGATATTACTTCTCAACTCAATATAGTTTTAAAATGAGAATATTCTTATCCTGGAATGATTGTTCTGGGTGATCGGTGATTTTGCACAGCTATATATTGGTAGTCAATTTACCAAATTTAAGTAAATCAATCAGTATTGTGACACCAATTGCAGTTACCATTTGTATTAGGAATTCCAAATAAGTAGACTGACACCAAGAGATTAACAGAAGACAATACCTGAGAATTTTGAATTTGGTGTGTTTGTATGAAACATGGACTTGATATTGATAAAACGTTCAGTTCCGACAGAACTTAACCTATTGTTTTCAAGATGTAAACATTTGTTTGATTGCTGCATTCATATGAAAATTTCAATTATTTCGTCAAACCATCCTACTTAAAACATATACATTTCGAAAGCACTAATTTAGTGATGTTAGTGAAAAAAGATAGATCTTAATTAACTTCGTATATATTTGTATATCTGAAACAGAAGATATAACACTATCGAATTCAAAAGAAGACAAAAAAACAATTCCTCTTCAGTATTAGTCAAAGAATTGTGTATTGATTAACATTGAAGAAATCATGACCAATTAATTCACTGTTTAATAGTTATTATCATCAAGACTGATTCAGACTGAATTCTTTTTACCACTTATTATACCCAGTAGTAACAGTTTACAGATAGTTATATATACAATAAACATGAAAAGAATCAATTTATAATTAACATACAACTAAAGATTATATTGTAATGAAAACAAATATACAACTACTTATGTTCTATTGAAGCCAATAAAACTATCCAACTGGGAAAATGACAATGCTTAGACTAATATTGAACAACATTATTTAGAATAGCTTTTAAAAAGTCCATTCTAGTGAGGTAATCAAATTCAAAACATTAATAAAATAATAAGAAGGAAAAGTTTCCTTAAAGATTTCTATAAATTAAAATACAGTAAACAAAATTAGTCAGCAAACAAATTGTGAAAATCACAATATGCTTGCAGGATTGTAAAAAATCGATAGAAATAGTGTATCACTTATCATATCAGAAAATTATGAAATATTGATTTTGACAAAATTGTCCATCTTTTGTAGAGTGAATTCGAAAGAAACACAACTCAGATTGAGATTTTCACTATCTGGAAGTTATTTTTTGTTCAAACTTATTTTACTTACAATCTTATTATGTCTTAAAACGTTTCTAAAATTGATTTGATTGGTATTATGATTTAATAAAATTATATTACGAAACTGTATAATTCAATGGATAGTTAGATTTGTTAAAAGTTGATATCAGCTAGAAAAAAATGCATGGAAATTTGCAAAGTCGTTTTGTATTCGCTTGAAACATTCCATCCACACATGATCTGCATGCTTAACAATGAGTATAACACTACTGAACTATTCATCTGGAATCAAATAATTCACTTCGCTTAATTTGTGATATTTTGATATCTCTAATCTATATAATCGGTTAGATAATTGTTATGACTTTATGTCCAGCTTTTTATCACGTTATTTATCCACCAATCAAAATACGACTTATACAATCTTCGCACTGTGCCAAACTTAATGACGTTTGACCGGTATGGTCCTAGCCCGTCCACTTGAGTCGAGAACAACAACACTAGCTCCCACTATGCGAATAATTTATTTCAAACAAACTCGGTTTATATAGTCTGGTTTATACAGTCAAGTAAACCGCACTACACCATAGAATAGGAAATAACATTTATACAAAGTCAAGCCAAAAAGTGGCTGTGAACGTGGGAGGCAGTAGTCAATAAACTGAACAGTAAATCGTACAATAAATTATAAGTCAAAATAAAGCTTATAATAAGGGGAATGTGAATATACATAATTTAACTATTGAATAGTTATACCATAAGAATGTATAGATAATATTAGTCAATTAATATGTCTTAGAAGTTACTCGTGGTTTAATCTTCGCTCGGATATAACAGTAACTGTATAAGTCATGATGTTCTACTAAGATTTCAAGAAATCTATCTGAAAGTTACTCAGGAATGAACACAATTATAATTGGGTAGATGATGTTGTGGAAACGTTTTACATTTAGAAAATTAATTTTCATCACAAATCGATATTACTAGTAGAATCTTAGAAAATTTGTACGATTGGTAATCAACCCAGTAATTCAATTGTATGTTATTCGTTGACCTATTGACAATTCGTAAGCCAAAAAAAACAAACATTTATTCACTATTCTCCAACATTTAATGATTCAACAATTCATGATAAAAATCATTTTCAAATAACAATAAACTTACTTAAATGACAAAAGAATAAAATTGAATTGAATAAAACGCCTTTAAATTAATTATTGAAATATTGGGAATCTGTAAAATTTTAAACAGCAAATATCCAATTTGAAAATACACATTATCATTTGAATATTGCTAATTTGACACATTATTTTTTTTTCTTTATGCTCATATACACAGAAAATTATGTATCACATATAAAAATTCCAGTTAATCTAGGTATGTAACATATAAGAGTAGGGTTGTTTTTTTCAACAGTTAAATAAAACAACAAATAAATATGTAATGGAATTTAACTACGTCAAATAAGACTCATTAACAATATTTATTTATCCTTTAATGATTAATGGACTAATAATTTAGATGTAACTGTAAAATGTAAATTGAAAATTAACATATTTATATATCTAATACAAATATGCCAATTGTCAAACTGATTAATATATATCAGTATAATTTATTAGTTATATTAATTAATTTGAATTAACTTACAGTCTAATCATACTTCATAGACAGAGATATCAAAATGTATATTAGTTTATTTACAAAATTTAGTGTATTTATCTTAATTGATAAGTGTAGGAAAAGATCAAGGAGTATTGACCATTCATCTGATGATTGAAATGAATTTTTTCTCTAGCTTTTTCTGAATATTTAAATAACAAAACAAAATTCATTGTGTGTGTGTGTAATTTTTCAGTTGACTACTAAATGATACGTAAAATAAATGAACAACATATACATAATAAGATTGTATACACTAGGCTATAGGGAAAATTTATAGTATAATGATTACAGGTTTGTACAGTTCAATTAAACTGTAACTTTTATCAGGGTGCATTAATTAACTACCTTATAAATATGGAACTTAATAGACAGAAACAAAATGTTAACATTCATAAATTACTAATTCATCATTACAAAGTACATTAAAGTAAACAATACATTCATAATAACTGGAAATATCTATTTAAAAATAAATAAATAAATAAAAACAATCTTTTTTGACAGTTGATTTCTTTCTTTCTTTTTAAGAATAAAATTTAATACATATGAAGTACAATGAGAAGAAGAAGAAGAAATGTTTCTGGAAAAAAATGTTACTCTATAGAAATTTGTGGAAGGAACTATGATTCCTTCAAAATATATGCAGTACACAGAATTCATGATTATTAAGAAATAAATTCAAAAAAATATTTATCGTACAATAAAAATCAAAATTATAGAGTGAAATGAATTAATGTAAATAATGAAGGAAATGATGATGATGGTGAAATAAGAAATCAACGAGACTATACCGTTTTTCACTGACTTAACAGTTTAAAATAATGAAAAGTCTATACATGATTTGATACCGGATGATAAATGTACGGAATTATACAGATTTGGGTTAATATATTTTAAATGATAATTTGCTATAAATATTCTTTTATTGAATTGTTGATTATAACTGTCCATTCAAATGAGACTGTATAAAAATACAATAGGGTTGATGATCGTAATGTTACAAAGTCCTGATTGCTTTTTTATGCATAAAAAGACCGGTGAAACAGTAATGTAATAAGAAACTGAATTAGCTTTGCAGTTTGATTGTGTAACAAATGATTTGAATAAACTTTTATGACTAATAATCATGTGAATATATATATCATACAGAAATCATGGTTATCCTTTATTGAGAAGTATTACTTTCATATTTCAATCCCTTTTGTTCATCAACTGTTACATGCCCATCTTCGTAAATTCTCGAGTTTGATTCATCTGGTGTCGGATAACATGAAAATACACTGGCAGCTATATTGTTATAAACATCATCGTTTATTATACGTTCATCAGCTATTTCTCCATCATTATTCTTATCAATGTGATTTTCATTTTTAGTTACAGTAATCATACCTTGCTCTGGTTCTATTCGTAAATTACGTGTATATTCAATGGGGAAATAATCTAAATAAAAACATGCACCATTCCATATTAGCGTTAATGTTTGAATAATTAACATAGATGCATGGAATAGATAATTGCACCATGCAACGACAGCAACTAACAAGAGAATTGTAGACAGTATGATACTGCAAGCTATCCAACTAATCAAATGCCATCTAGTGTATAAATGAATAAAAATTAAATAGAGATATTAATACGGTACACAAATGAGTATTCAGTTGAAAATTAAATTATTATAGGTTAAAAATAAAATCAATATTTACTTTCTTATTCGTATCAGGTACCTACGTTTCATGCCACTCAGAATTCATCGGCAAAGCATACCTGCGATCTTGATAGATATATCGACTTCATTAGGATTTGAACCCACATCACCCACTTTCACATTACGGGAGGCGATACATCATAGAACTATTCGGATAAAGACTGACCACCTTCTAAAAGACTGAGCTATTTACAATTGATTGTTCACTGAGTAGTGACCAGTGTTATGTTTGTCTAGCCCTAAGTACACAAAACGTACACAGAAATCGGTAAAAGTATTCAGAGCAAAAATGAAAAAAAATTAACTATCTTAAATTGAGTTTTTGGGAAGCTCATGAATCATCTGGTTACAAGTTTGAACTCGATTTACTTCGGAAGCCGAATGGTGTTACTAACTAAGCAACATAACAAATAAATATCCTGAATAACAATTTCTCGCAGTTTGCCTCATACATCTCTCTCTTTTAAATACATATAACTTAATTTTCATTTCATAACATGTATTAGTTGATGTTATATATTTGTCTGACTAGCTTGATATATTATTCCTGTATTACTGGAAATTAAATAATAGTGTAAAACATAGCTACTTATACATAAAGCGCAATTTAAAAATATGCTACTAAAACACCGAGAATAAAATAATTGCGATAAAAATCTGTATACTAGATTCAAATTAGATTTAATTTTTTATGAAAAACAATAGTGTTAATTTAAACAAGTAAGTATAACATAAAGTCATTGAAACTGATGATTAAAGTCATTTATTGTTACGGATTTCATTGAATTAAATTTTAAAAAAATCGCTTTATTTGAGTTTTAAAAAGTTGATCGTCCTAGAATCAAATATTTTCTTAATATTCTAAAGCGTAATCGTAGTAATTGTAAATCAATGAAAGTTTAAGAGAAAAATATTATTGGTGAAAGAAAGTGAAGTTGTTAATTAATAAATTGTTTTGTAGCGAATATAACGAAAGATTCATAATGATTTATTTAACAAAGATCGAGTGAATAGTCTCAAACAAAGTCAACAAACATAATAATATTCGTTTGTGGTTATATGTTAGGAATTTAATTTGGAGAATCCTTACCAAACTGATAAAAATTATTAAATGGAAGATTTTCTAATTACAAGATACAGAATCTCATATTTTAATTGACAATTAACACTAAGAACAAGAACTTTTTTAATCTTAGAGATATTTTACTACCTTGTTACTGCATATTGAAATAGATAAAGACTATAAGTTATGATATGGTATTATAACTAACAATTGCATCCTATTTAAAGCTTAAGACAATTGAACAATTAATTGCATTTTTCCGAAGTCATAATTAATGTTTATGAAACTAGTAGATTGAGAATAAAACACTTCAATTTTCAAGTGTAGTCATATGTATGTTTACATGAAACACATACCTGTTACAACTGTAGGATAAAAAGAACATTGATCGGCAAAAGCCCCTTAGATCGTTCTTTTTTTGACATTTATCATAAATAATCTTTTAGTTAACTGTAAAAATAGTTAATGACACCGAGACATTTTAGTAATTCTGTTTGTACTGTATTACAATAAACTACCTATAGACTAGAAAAAAACTCCCTATATAAAGGGGATCGGCCCTCTTATGGTTCAAGCAATGTAGTTTATAAACCACGACAAATATTAATAACATCGTTTTGAATATTAAAAAGAGGAATCATAAGTAGTAACAATAATGATAACAATAACTACTAGTAATAATAATAACAGCGATAAAAAACAAGTGGAGTGATATAAAGATAATATTTAATAAAAACTTTAACCTCTTTCCTATCCCTTAAACATGTTAGACTGTCTATATTGGATGACAAATGAATAATAAATCTAAACCAAAACTCCACAATCTTGAATTATATTAGATAAAAATAATTATGATCATATCTTAGGTAATTTCAGGTGTTAAGTGATAATACATTAAAACTAGCAATTAACATCATCTTGTTTAATTGATCCTATTGTTAACCTAATTCAATAAATTTTGTATTCCCAATTTTTTGTTGTTGATTTTATTGGTTCATTACAATTTAGTAAGATTTATTTTGTTATTTATGCAGCACATTACAACAAATAATATTGATCACATTTATTATTAATATTATTTCTACGATCTATAATAATAAATAAACAATATATTTGTAATATCCCAATGAGTAGAAAAATTAAATTTTCTGACATTTCGTGACTGAGTGTAAGCCACTTCTTCAGAGAATAAATAACCAAATTAAAATTAATCCAAGTTTAAATAGTACTATTTGTACTATTGTACTATTTAAACTTGGAATAATTTTATTGTGGTTATATATTCTCTGAAGAAGTGGCTTACACTAAATCATGAAACGTCAGAAAATCTAATTTTTCTACTCATTGGGATACTACAAATATATTATTTATTTATAACAATCTACCCAATGCTCAATTTATTCGAGATTATCAAATCAAACCTTAGTAATGAGATTCATAATAATGTTGATTTAGTCAATTAAACATTATTCATTAAGATAATTGAAAATTAGAATTCATATTTATTAATGTCTACTAAACATTGTTATAAATGATGATAATTTTATGTTAATTGATACATTCACATATTTACAAACGTTACAATAAGAATCGATGTATTAAATTTTCTTGGATTGTAAAATTTTATATACTACTGAACTGACTAGTAAAGGTGAAATGAAATTTAATAATCTTGATATATTGTTGGTAATGATTCAATAATCTGAAATCAGATGATGATTTATGAAAGTTGCACAATAAATAAATAAACTGTTAGTCTTGATATTGGGGACTATTAGGCATTAATAAATGGACTAAGGAGTGAAACACAGTCATATTTATTGAACTAATGGTATTTTCATTTGCTTCGGAAATAAAAGATGTATCTAAATATCAATAACAGTGTATATTTCTGGTTTACTGAACTACAAACAACACTCCCATGAACAGCCTATTAATCAGCTTTCAAAATCACAATAAATACAAGAAAAGCTTTGAGCTGTTAGCTCATAAAAGTCGCAGTGTTAAAGTTATTAAATTACAAACAATTGTGCATCCAGTTATATAACAGGTAGTGACCATAATTTGCTGTAGTAATCAGGAAATAATAACAACATCTAGACACAATCAAGCAACTTGACTAGCAATTATATCTTAAAACTACATATAGACAATTATACATCAATTATCCCAGTTACGGTGAGTGAATAAGACTAATAAACATCAATCAAACGAGTCTTCTGGCACAATTTAACTAGATAAAGGGTGAAGCGGTGGCTCAGTGGTTGAGGTATTTGACTCTAAGTCACTAATTGAACAGTTTGAATTCTATATATTTCGGTTTGGGTGACCGGTTAGTATCATCAGATCACATGCTTAGATTTTACCTCCAAGTTAAGCGCATGAATCTGTACTTGGTAAATGAGTTGAATAAACTGAATAAAATTAAGATATTATGCAACAATAAATACACGTACATAATGTCCGAAAAATCAAGCACAACTACATAAACATTTTGTATTACATTTGATGGTTTGGTAGTGCCAAATAAGAGTTGTTGACAGTTTGTAATAAGAAATACTTTCCAGTTGTACTGTACCAAAAATCCTATATATATCATATACCATCGTAATAGCTAAAGTAACATATATATATATATATATATATATATATATATATATATATATATATATATATATATATATATACTTACCGTTCACCAATATATTTCCAGAAGAAACGCCATAGGATTTTCTTTTTATGTAAATATCGGAAACTATCTAAATATTCATCACTAGGTTTTACAATTCCATAAATTATAGTATAATATAGCATCTAATAAAAAACAATAAGAAATAAGTAACAATGTTTAATTATAAAATTATTTATCAATAATACACCACTGCACCAACTAATACTTCGGTGAAGTATGAACGAAAATATGGACATGTTGATGTCGTTATTTTATTCATACACATTACTATTTAACAAGTATCTTTTTTAGATTAATGTGTAAGTAAATCGTTTGATTTGAAGATCCACCCATACAAAAAATGTTATAAAAGTTTGTAATTGATTGACATCACGACACAATTATTGATACTACGCTAGACTACAAAAAAGTTGACTACCAAAGAATGATGAAATAGCATACACAATAACAAAATTTACTTGTGCTGGATATATTAATTACAAATAAAATAATATCATTGTGTTTCATTATTTAAACAAATTTCTTCTGCTTAACTACATATGTTTATACTGTTAGATGATACAGCCAAATAATTCAAATGAAATCTAAACACTACTAACGCGGTTACACTGATCATTTTAAAAAACATCCGAAGTGAATATAAATAAATATATAATCCAATAACAAAACAATCATATGGATGAATATGCAAATAGTTTATTTTATAATACAGAAATGTATAAAGTTTTCACAGCAAAAGAATTCAACAAATTTTCATCAATTCAGCTAAATCAAGAATACATGATGCATAATTTTTTCTTTAAACTAACCTTTCCTATGATCTAGTTTTTTTAAAGGTGGTAAAACGCCTAAATATATTAAACATCTCATTTTATTTTCATTATTAAACTTAACCAACCACGCTCAACAAGCAGTATTCTGTTTCGATATATGCCTTGTAACCTAGAAGCAACTCGTTCCTACCTGACTCACCCTTATAGACCAGTTTTATCTAAAAGACGTAACATTTATTTGCAAAAACATTCAACCATCAGATGATGATGATGAGTATACATATATGTACGGACCTTATGTATTTGACTAAATTGTTGACGCGTTTTTAACAAACGCTATCAAAATGTTCTTTTACGAAACATCTAATGTAACACATGTACTACCATCAAGTTTTTGTATCCTCATAAAACAGTTAATCACAAAATACTTAAATTTCCAGTGTAGTACATCTTTTATATACATTCATTTTTCTCTTACCCTTATTTTTAATGGCTTACTCCATTTAATGAGTAACTGACTATAATTTTCGTTACAACATACTGCACCTGAATGATTTTCGACCCCAAATATGTTACTACCACTACTACTGATCGTCAATTTTCAATAACATGTCGCTCCATTCATACTGAATACTGTTGGGTTAAAATATGTGAAACTACACCCTAGATGTTTAAATTTTCAACAATATTAGATGTCTTACATTCACATTAATCCAGAATAGGGGTTGTCATAGGACGCTTTAAAAGGGTGATGAACATGATCGATGTTCAAAAAAATCGTCATATACTCAACTTTTCGAAACTTATATCATACTATATCAAATTCATTTGTCCTTTAGTTAAATTTCATGCATTTTTCTTCATTTTAATATCTTTTGAAGCCGTCAAATATCGCCATTTCTCTCACTAGGTTTAATTTGTTAAGTAATTGCCTAATTTTTAGGAACCCAGAAATACTGATAAGCAAGACTTATAAGACTAGATCATCTTTGTGGATCAATCAACTTCACAGCACTTAGTTTCCATTTCTAATCATGAGAGGAATAAAAGTATCAACAGTCCAACTTAAATTGTGGTCAATACTTTGAGATGTATCCGATTACAGAGAATTGTATATAATGTTTTGCTACTTTTTTTGCTTGCTGATTGAAAATATGAAATAGTGTAGTTTGACAGCTGAACCTCATTTTAATCAGTCAGTAAGAGCAATGAGACAGAAAGTGAAAATTATTGGAATATAAAAAAGAGATAAACACAAAGAATATTCAAAAATAGAAAATTCAAATGTGTAATTCTTACCTACCTCACGTACGAAATGGAATAAAGCAGGAGCTGCAACAAGCCAGAGCCAGTCAATATTTTTATTCCAGGACAACAATTCTAGAGAAGCATGGGAATCATATAAGTTGGTATACCACCAAACTGATGTTTCCGAAGGATGCCACCGAATTCTATGAATATAACAAAAAGAATTATTTCGAAAAATGAAAAAAATATGACATTAACAATTAGCTTACTGTTTCTGGCCTGTTATAAGCTTAAATTCTAAACTTAAGACGTGTGCAAGTATATGTATTAAACTGAGATCGATGCCATTATTCCAAATATTTCTGGGTCGTTCCCAAAGCGTTTAGTAATTATTTCATTCAAACAGTTGTCATCTACACTAGTAAATAAATGAGTTATGTTAGGGTATTTCTGCAAAGTCATAAGAAAAAATGATTAACCATACAATCATATTCTTGACGAAAGTGTTTATGCATGAGGAAAGTCCGTAGCCCTAATAAACACTGTTTGTTGAGATCAATTTAGAGGACAGTTCACCACCAGTTCTGACCTCACCAGTAGTGTACGTAAACTTAATCTTTAGTAGACTGATAAGATTTCTACAATATGGCTTTCAATAAAAATTTCTATATGTAACCTCCAGTCAAAGGAGCCATACGACGCCGTCAGATCAAGGAGCAATACTACAGTAGAGTCAATACGTCTGCATAAATTATGGGACCTATTAAAAAGTTACAGTCTGGTTTTCATATTCATGACCATATCTGGGACCTGCTGGCTGCTTTTGGGTTTACTATTTCCAAGACAAATTTAGATGCCTCATGAGTGTCGGCTAACATCTTATATGTGATATTGACTGGTTGATGCGCTGTGGTTACGACAAGGCGATCCTTTTTCTTCCTTGTAAAATTGTATAATTTATAGATAGGGTTAGTTAGACAGGATCATTACTGCCTTTCACACTACAAAATTAACTAAAATACAACTCTTGAGCCCAAACCGTTATCTTTTAAGAACCCTCAAAATAAATCTTCACACTCTTCAGTCTAGTTGGGTTTTAACTGGATTTATGTAGAAAAAAAGCCGTGAATAGTTTCGATTCCAGTCACCAAGAAATTATAAAAACGGTATGGGGTAAAAACCCATGGAACGCAAATATATCGTATCAACTGAAAACACACTAACAAACCGAAACTTGCAAGAATGAGAAAAGGGCAGGCAAGACGTGTATAAAACACGAAGTAAGTCTTTGGATGTCGTGCAGAGCAAGGGTGTTACGGAACAGAAACGCCCCACCGAAAGCTAAAGAATTGGCAAGACCAAAGTGGAACAACTGCATGGCGTGCGAGTGCGGCAATAACCTGTGAAATACAAATATTAGAACGAATACTAACCAGATGAAGACCAATGACGCAAAGTTGATAAAGTAGCATGGGTCCAACATGAACAATAAGTATTTATTTTTCCTAAATTTGTCACCCACAATAGTCAAACGAGAGGTACCAGTAGTTGTAAACTCTCAGGAGGTATAAAAGGATGAAAAGAGAAGAGAAACTGTATAACACAAGTGCCGGTCTGATAATAGCGAAACACATTGTAGTAAGAATAACAGACATTGCCCCAACAAAGCACAGCTTCTCACAAAGTTTCATCTGGAACAAAAATTTAGAAGACAAAACAGTTTACAGTTCTGAGGTAGGTTTGTTATAATATGTAGTTAACGCACAGTTATGTGCATCGTCTACTCCTTGATTCTTTGCAATGCAACCAGACACAGCGCCACAGACATTTGCGCGACAATGACCTGAAGGTGCATAAAAATGACGTAATATAAGTATAGTTGTGCTTTTGCAGCTAGCTGTTAAAAAATAGTAAAAAGTATGAATAATAAAGAAAGTTTTATTAGATTTATTCAAAAATAACTTAGGATATATTTTGAGAAAGACAAATGTTCAAACGGTTCATCAAATGGTTGTGGACGGAATAGAAGCTTTCGCCTAACGGGCTTCCATGTCTAGTAGCGATGGATCACCAATACCTCAAGGCAGAAACCTAGAAATATTAACGATAATAGAGGAAAAATGAATTTGCTAAGTCATAGTAAGACACTATCCTTAGTCCTGAAGAATAGGTCAAGTTTCCTCTTAAAGGACTCCTGAGAAGCCATTTGGACTAGCTCAGCCGGCTGCGAATTCCAGCATTTGACAACTTTCAAGGAGTAGAAGTTGTGTCAACATTTCATTCTTCCATTTTGTGTCTCCAGTTTCTGGGTGTTACCTTTAAGGTTTGTGTTGAAGATTAACTTAAGTGGGTATTTAAGGCAATGTCCAGGAGTGTTAAGGACACTGTGAGCCATCAGATCACTTTTAAGATGCCTGTACTATAATGAGTAAAAGTTTAATGGTTGAAGGTGCTCTTTGTAAGGCTAGAATTTGAGTCCACGAACTGATTTCGTGGCTCAACGTTTGATACGCTCCAGAGTGTCCTTATTCCTTTGGAGAGGAGAAACACAACGTTTCCGTACTCTAAATGGGGACGAATAAAACTGTTGAAAATTATACGGAAAGTTCTTCCGTCAAACTGGTCAAAAATGCGCCTCAATGTTACCAGTTCGAAGTTTGCTCGAAAGGCATTTTTGTCACAATTAGCGTAAGACTTCAAAGCGTAGGTACCAGCATTTCTACATCTTTTTCGACTAGGGATATTTCTAGAGAGGAGTATCTTAAGTCGTAACTGTAGTCTGCAACATTTCTCAGGTGGACTACTTTACACTTTGAAGTGGTAAAGGTTAGTCCGTTGTCATCTGTTCAACTTAGAAATCGAGTCATATCCTGTTGACGTGCCAGTATATCCTCTTAATTGCGTATCTCTCTCCAGAGTTTCACATCATCAGCAAAATGTAATAGGTCAGACGATACGTGTTATGGAAGATCGTGTATATAAATCCATAAAAAATGAGATCTTAGTACTGAACTCTGGGGAACCCCATTAGGACATTTCATAGTCTGAGATAAATTGAAGTTAACCCAGACCTTAAGATGTCGATTTTTCAATTATGAATTGTGCCAACCAATTAGAGGTGATTTGATACCCTATTGTTTGAGCTTATTGATAAGAAATATATGGTTGGCCCTATCAAGAGCTTTTGAGAAGTTAGCGTTAATGATTTCAACCTTCCCCTTGCAATCAAGGATGGTTTTCCATCTGTCCACCGCAGTCAGCAGGTTAGTAATACAAGAATGCTCCTTTCTGAAACCATGCTGAGAGAAAAGCCAATGGTCGGTAACTTGAAGGTTCACTGCGTCTACCTCCTTTGAAATTTCCGGTAGCTTGCTTCGGCTTAGCGAGTAAGAGAGCATCACGCCAAGCGGTGTTGCCAGGATTGAAGCTGCTTCCCTCAATATAAGAAAATAAAGCATATATTGGCCAGGAGAAGTTTCTTTCCTTAGGTGCCGCAGTTTCTGGAACACCAAGTCAGAGCTCGTGTTCACTTCAGAAAGTTCTATGCAGTTGCAGATGAAGCTTTCATCAATACAGTTGACGTGGGTTGGATTGTCCGAGAGTATTGTCCAGCCAGAAGATTATCGGCGTCACTATCGTTGTCGGTCGGGCAGTTAGGACCTAGCAGTTATGAAACTCCAGTCTTGGCTTATCGAAGAGAGGCTGAATAACGATTTGAAATTCCAGCTCAACTCAGAAGGCTATGACGGCGTATTCGCGTTTCTCCAGGGGAGTCAGAATTGAGAGGTTGTCAACTAGGAATTCTTCGCTTGTAAATACCCAGTCTAAGCGCGATGGTGTATGACTGTTTCTCCAATGAGCTGCCGACTACACATTTTCGAATAATCCCAGATCCTCAATGAGGTTAAAGAATCGAGATTCAGTTGAGCCTTCACTCCTAATGTACGTATGTTCCGCGAAATTGACTTTAGGAAGATTGAAGTCCCCTAGAATCAGGATATGAGTGAACCCGAGACTCGTGGAGCGGGATAATCCTTCCAGCATACGATTGTTTTACACGATGTCAGCAGTAGGCTTCATGTAAATGACCCCAAATAGACACCACGAGATGGTGGCAATCTTACTGAGCACCATACGGATTCATCAAGATTGATAAACTTCTGGTTGTGAACTTGGTGTACCTTCAGGCATGATCGTATGTATAAGGGTACTCCACACCTTACTGGTTTTTCTATCGTCGAGAAACAAATGCATCCCAGTTATTGCTAGACTATGAAATGTCCTAATGGGGTTCCCCAGAGTTCAGTACTACGATCTCATTTTTTATGGATTTATATACACGATCTTCCATAACACGTATCGTCTGACCTATTACATTTTGCTGATGATGTGAAACTCTGGAGAGAGATACGCAATTAAGAGGATATACTGGCACGTCAACAGGATATGACTCGATTTCTAAGTTGAACAGATGACAACGGACTAACCTTTACCACTTCAAAGTGTAAAGTAGTCCACCTGAGAAATGTTGCAGACTACAGTTACGACTTAAGATACTCCTCTCTAGAAATATCCCTAGTCGAAAAAGATGTAGAAATGCTGGTACCTACGCTTTGAAGTCTTACGCTAATTGTGACAAAAATGCCTTTCGAGCAAACTTCGAACTGTTTATCAAAACGTTTCTCTAGCACAAGACTGCGCATATCATGATGAAGAAATTTTTAAATGATATGATTGGTAAGAACATGAAAATCATCAAGAATAATGTCAAACAAATGTCCACAAGAGACTCAATAACCTTTTGTACCAAACTGCCAAGCAGTCGATGTGATCGACGGTTGTGTGTCATACCTAAGGGTTCCGTTGAAGAAGAACCCAATATAATTACTTGGTATCTAGTTCCGACAAAATTAACTAATAATAGCGAGTCTTGAAGGAAATTGAAAAATTATCGTCTTGTTAGTAAGGGCGGCGAAATATAAATGCATGTTGAGTCACGTGCCGGGTCGAATAATAATATCACTCAAGGAGAAAATCCAAAGGTATATTCATGATGTCAAGTAAAACAGTTTGAAAGAAATTTTATTGCATTTCGCTTGTTATACTCAACGGGAAAACCTTTGTACAATGTTTCACAATTTAAGGAGATCAGTGTATCGAAAAGATTCTTTAGAATTGCAAGAAAGATATTTGCACTAAATAATAGACCGTACCCAGTTTTTTTGAAAGCTTTTAGTTTACCTGCTCTGTGGCTAAAAAGTTATTAGCAGGCAGATAAATTTTATTTACGGTCCTCGTAATTTCATCATTTCAACTGAACGGGATGATATGATATCAAAGTGAGCTACAGAGAAGATCCATCCAGTAATGACCACGAATGAGCTTGAAGCCACTACTGATATTCGTAAGTTGACAACGGCTTTACCAGTAACGTCTTTATAGCCGAAGGACACCAACCCAGTCAAATCAGAAGTCAGATGTGAAGAGGGTCGAAAACACAATTGAAAGGCTATCGATATATCGGAAATCGTTTAATCTAAACTAGCTAGCAGTCGTATAAAATAAAAAGCACGTCGTAATTACTCGTTATCTCGTACGAATGCGTAGCCGAGCACCTTTAGACAGGTGCGTCAAGTAAAACCAATGAGGTCAGCATTAATTTCGAAGGCCTACAGAATTATTTTTTTATGTGAATTCATTAACCGCTATATTTTTCCATAAAATAACCCTCGCTTTCTTTCTTACTGGGATCCTTTAATTGTGAAAAAAATGGACAAGCACGATACTATTTCGCATTCATGAAAAGAACTGACATAACACCTAGACAGTGCCTCGACATAATGTTTAATCATTACGCCCTAGACAAATTTAAAGCGTAAAATTGAGCAATAGATGACTTAAAAATGAACTAAAAAGTGGTAAATAAGAGCGGTATATTATTGCTGAAAACATGTTATTCCTAATACCATGGTATGTTAAACAAATTTAAATCGGCGGAATTTGAAGGCGCTAATTTCGTTACTTGCGCCTCAAATGACCTTTAGATGGGTGAGTTCCTACGTCCGATTCATAAAGTGTGCGATTATATCCTGGGAGATATTTTTTGTCTTAGATGGTTCATGAATAATATTCAAGCTCTTTTTGTCAGTTCTCTATGCTAATTTTTTTATTTATGATATTTTATTGTTAACTCTAGTGGTTTAAATATCAGTAATTGTCCAAAAACTCTTTTGATGTGTACACTCTGTAGATTTTAGTTCTCGAAAAAGAACCGTTTTGAGAGTTCTATTCCTCTTTTTTCAGTCTTTATGCTTAATCGAAACCTCTGTCTTTATATTACTGATGTAATGTTGTCGTAAGAGAGACAATTACTGAAACCTAATTTCCTTCCGATGAAAATGTGTGTCTTGTTGCTGTTCAAAGTGTCGTTGGTTTTTTTATTTTGATGTAAATATCTTTTCAGACTACAGTCCATGTGCTGTAATCATGGTTGAACACAATGATGCTATAAAACTGGGTTGGTTTCCTATTAATTCGCAACCTGGGTTAGATAATGTTTTTGCTCCATCAAAGGACTGGACTAAACCGATTGTATATAATGTCAAGAGCGTTCGGGAGTTTGGCGTTAAGTTCGTCCATCCACTTGGCTAAATAGATTTTTGGCATTTCTGCTAATGTTAGTTCATGATGAAAACCCTAAGCCTAATTCCTAAAACTGGTTTATAACCCCTATTTAGTTCTGGTTGGTAGGTGGATATCCGCAAGGTCATTTAGCACCGCTCAAAAGTCCATAAATTATGGTCTCGTCACCTATCAGTTTGTGTTAGTAGTTGTAAAACTATTCAAAATTGAAATGTAATGTCTAATCCCGTAAAAATACATGAGTTCTATTAGGATTCTCGAGACAACTCGCTGATTAATCTCGACCAGCACCAAAATTAGATCCAGCGCGTCTAGTTAATTGCTTTGAACTATTTAATAGTACCAGAATGTTCTCAGGACAGTGATTGCTGCTCTTATTTCTTGATTTTACGTATGGACGTTTTGAAGCAATACACGCTTTTTCCTGGTTCCACACCTATCTGGACTTCACGTATTTATAGGAGCAGGGTGATTAAATCCAAAATAAAATAGTGATTTGTTTTGTACCTTAGTTATATCGGTGAATTGGGTTAATAAACGTTCAATTGTATTGTCGGTAACGATTTCTGACTAACAATCCTATTGACAGATGCATTTTTAACCTGTCAATGTACTACATAGTAACATACTTGTCATCTCTGTGCTCTGAAGTTAATTGTTTGACAGCGTTTATAAAAATCAGTCTCGACCAACTGACATTTCTACTTCTTGCACTGTCGCGTTATTCTCTTAAGATAAGTGGCATCTAACTAGTTTTCAAATTCACCTCAAAGCCTCGTTGTGTAAAACCAATGTGTTGGTTCTGTGCAGCACAATTCTTCAAATTTTATCATCTAATTTTGTTCCTGTTCATAAAAAGCATTTAAAAATTATCACATCACTGGTTACTCTTGGTGTTTAAACATAGACAAATATATTTATGTAGTTGTCTGTTATCAGGATAATTAATTTTAAATTAGATAAAGGAAGCTGTCTTGGTCGTGTTCCTTATAACTCGGTGATTGGATTCATCTTAGTACTTGTTGGAGGTGGTGTCTTGTGTGGTACAATTTATTCTGGAATATCACGTATCGATACATACTTTCGGTTGTATTTTTTTCCTGTCTACTCGTAAGTTACTAACATTTTAATGTTTTGTTTATTATGTTAATTGGGAGAATATGTTGGCATTCATTTTATTTTAGTAAAGTTGTTGCTTAGTGTACCAAATTCAGAGAATCCTCAAGTTGGTTTTAACTTAAAACTATGGCTAACGTTTAACATGGATGTTATTTTCTGTAATGTACAACCTTTTAAAACTAAACGAAATAGGATCCATACATTCATATATAGCTTGTACTTTTTATAAATGTCTATCGCTGCTACATTTTTCAGACAAATACTACAGATTAAATTTTTGAACTGGAATACATCAGTAACTAATTGGTCACAGAACTTTATTTTTCAGTGATACAAGTGGTCTTAAATATCCATTAGTTCATAGTAAATTCAACTTTACGAAATGTATCTAGGTATCATCGTTTTTTATAAGATACTGCACATAAATCGTCCTTGATTATGAGCATCTGTTTTAATAAAATCTATTCAATCTTATCATTAATTCTAGAACAATTGATATGATTTGTATATTAACAAACGTTTTTGAGTTTTTGGTTTACAAATTAAATCCTTAATTTCTGGTATGTTCATTAGAGTAAATCTCATCTATGTAAAAATATAACTCATCATAGGTTTTGTAGCTAGTGAATTTTATTGAGATGAAAAGCCATCCTGTTATTCCCATTGTATCTCGCGAATATTTTTATATTTCATATGACTGATCCCGTAGTATCCATTTACTGAGCTTTTTAGACAAGTTTTGGAAATCAATGGGCTTCACGTATTATTTTTGGGTAGCAAATCCTTCTTTGATTATCTTCCAAAACATCTTTTCTGTACATTCATACCTTAGTTATCATTGCTAATACATTATTTTTCTTTCTTTTCTATTCATCTCGTCGTGCTGGCCAACGTGCACTTGTACCAGGTTCTACGTTGACTGTAACTGAGTCACTGAGTTACTTTTGATTTACTTCTTTCTGACCTTTTTTAGAAGTCATTGCTGTTAGTTATATCAATTGTTCTTTAACTTTCAGTTTACCTTATCTAAGAATAGCTGCAGTTGTGAATGGGGCTGTAGCCGTTCTACTCGCTTTTCTAATACTAGTTTTCTCAACACTTGTGAATAATGCTACTCGTGGCCGCATCTATCGTGGTGATCGCTACATTATGGGTGGGCGTTGTTCAGCAGCTCTGGTAAGAATTTTGTAATTATTTTCGGCAAGTCGGTTTGTCTATTATAAACCGTATGTGCGCCTGTACAGAATTTAGTAGAATTGTTTTTTGGTCTGTGGAAAGTTATAAAATGTCATGCTTTTATGTGGTTTATTTTCCCGGATTTCTAAGTGTAACTTCGGAGTCATCAATAGAGACAAGTTATCTCCAGTTGTTTACATCAAGGACCCGCATCAACATGTAATCTCAACTATAAAATTCGGAAATCTACACAAACGCCTTTACTAAGAATTTTTCTTAGTTAGAGGTCGACTGTTGTGACTTTAAGCCCACTTTTTTATCATGTGATTTATTCGTCAATCGGAATACGACTTATACGCTATACACTGTGCCAAAACAATGACGTTCGAACGGTATGAGCAGCCTAGCATACTTATTGGTCCTTTGTTCGCCTAGCCCGGTGGTTTGAGTCCAGAAAGCCAATAACAGGTTCCAATTTGCGAATCATTTATTTCAAGCATACTTGGTCCATATGCCAACCAAACACATCACGTCACACCATAAAATAAAAAATAACATTTATACAACATCAAGCCAAAAATGTCTGTGAACGTGGGAGACTGTAATCAATAAACTGAACATAAATTAAGAAAAGTAAATCGTATAATAATAATCTATAGGTCAAAATGGATTTTATAATAAGAGGAATATAGATATACATAATCTAGTTACTGAACAATTATACAATAGGAATATATATATATATATATATAATATTAGCCCATTAATAGTTCTCAGAAGTTACTCGTAATTTAATCTTCGATAAAATATAACAGCGAAATCAAAATAACTAATAAGTTGAGTAGATTAAATTTCAATGAATAGAACTTGGGCCTACTCCTCAGGTTACGAGTAGTATTTGCTGTTTAAAAGCTACTCAAATCTTGTTCAGTTAGATTCGGTTGCCACCTACAACCCATTGATTATAAGTCAATCATCAACTCTTCTTGATACAGATTAGTGATTAATTTTGATTCGTAAAAAAATACCCTTAAAATTTACAGGAAGTTTGCAGTTTATTTACTTCTTAGTTTGGAATTGCCTGTACTAAAGTGTACTGAAGTACCCTTTACTCTCCGAAGATAATTCACTTGTGCCATGTCAATTAATGTTTCTTTAAATTATGTCACATTCTATGGATATTTGATCGTAAGGGGTACTGAGTTTTGTTTTTTTTACTAGAAATATGATCTTTATCATGATTGTGTATCTGATTCTATCCCCCGAAAGAAATAACGTTTCGAAAGGGATTTCGATAATTTCAAAATTATCAGTTGGTTGTGGGATCAGAGTTCAAAGATATTATTTGTTTCGTAGCTTACATACACAATCTCACTTGTTGATCAAGTGTAATTAAAATGTAGGGAAGAAATAATTTTTGATAATTATTTGCCATTTTTATCTAGTGGAATACTTTTTCGGGTTATTATTATTCAAACAAGTATAATAAAAAGCGGATAAAAGTACTGATGTTACTTATTTTGAAACTCATAAAATGTTTCTTAGATTGTTTATTTGTGCCTAACTATCATATGTGTTCAAGTAAACTTTTCTACTAGATAACAATGTTAAAAAATGGATATTCTAATCTAAGCCAGTATGTTTCGACGAACATTGGTCGACATTTATCAATACATCGTAAAGTATTCAGTTGTTTAAAATATCTTGTGGTTACATTTGTTGATTAATCGAATTATCAAACATCTATTTCACAGATCCCATGGCTTCCTACTGAAGCTTTCACAGTTGTTAGATTGTTTATGATTAGTTACTATTTGACTTGAAAAAACTAATGATGTTTGTATTGAAAGTCCAGTTTACCCATTTTTACCTGTTTCTGTCATTAATATACTGATAAAGGCAATTCTCAGTGCTTTCGAAGTATTGCGGCTAGGTTTTCCAGCCAAGGATGAAGAGGTTTTTGTAATCATCGATGGCACTTGCAAAATAAGAGTATCTATCTCTGTAGTTATTGTTAAATTTCGTATTTATAATTAGCTAACATATTTTTATGCAACATTACACTTTTTTGCATTTCATTATAACATCTTTTTAATTCTTTCCTTTCCTTTTCCTTAAACAAATAGTTCATGTGCACCACATATGTAACCATAATTGTATGGTTAATATTTTTAGCATTCCTTGTTGTCCCTACATTTTGTTGGGCAATGTTCAACTCGATTTGTACTGCTGAGTTAGCTGATGTTTGGCATGGACCAGGTGCACGACGTCCTGGTCCTGATGGCCGTGTTGCTCCATCTTTGTCAGAATTACGAGATCGTAAAGATTATCTGGCGGAAACGTATACAGCTCGTCTTGCCTACTATTATCAAAATCTTAATTTTGGCTATAATCCTTCTGAGTCTCAAAATGGTTTCAGATCTCCTTTTGTTAATCTGGGAAACTCGCCCAATCTACCAAATTATCACGCCAATCGATATTATTCTCCTGATTTCAACTACATTTTTAACTTGACACATTATGGTAAGAATGTTTTTTGAAATCATTCTTATTAATGCTACTTTCTAATCGTGTGCTTAATAAACCATTTGTGTTTATATTATTTTCTTATAGTTACTAAACCATTTGGTATAAAATAGTAACCAGTTCATATTCCATAGACGAACCTATATGAATTCAAATCAGTGGGCATGATAAGAGCATTGTCTATTTAATTTTATGAGTAATAATGATGTAAGTACGTCTTAGTTATGTATCGGCCTATGATCTTGCCTATTTTATAAGGGTCAGTCGCATTATTTACTATTCAAACACATAAACATTAGTACATGGGGGTACCCAATACATATGGGCCACACAATAACAACGAGACTAGTAGTGGTTACCATTAATTTGTGTGAGGGCTGGGATACTACCCCGGTGCCCAAACCGGGGCGGGTGGTTCCCTTAGGAGGGCACACCCGGAGCCATTGACCTGAAGGACAAATCCATAAGGCAGTGGAGCATCGTTAGGGGATGCAGTTCAATGGTAGCCTGTGACCAACGATAGGTTTATACGCTATTTTTCCCTCAGGATCTTGGAGCCCATTTGCATCATTGGTTTGGAGTCAGGGTTTTCCAGTTCCCCTAGGTGGATCCTCATTATTCACCAACTCGGTCAAAGCGTTGGACATTCGCTTTTCGTTCTCTCAATTTTGTAAACAACACCGACACGAGAAGGCAATGAGTAGGACTTCCCCGACAGTGGCTGTATACGTGTGGCCTCGTGAAAGCATTTCAAGAGGGAGAGCTGACTCTCCCCACCTTCGGCTGTAGTAGGGCATTCGGAAGCCTAGATTGTATTTAAGCAGAGATGAATAAGAGCATGATTCATAAAGTCATTCATTTTACGCTCTTCATGCATACAAGTGTATGTTCATTCAGTATTCTGTCCAAAGCCTTCATAATTGTAGTTAACTGATAAAATCTTCATAAAATAGATTCAACCTTTTATACATTCGTCTCCTTTGAATAATACATTTACATCGATGAAAATTACGGCTATAGATATCATCCATTTACTATTAGGGTCATTTTTTGCATTATATGACCTGGTACTTTTTTTTATCCCGAGCATTTTTCAACGGTTTCCTCTTAGTTAAGGAATATTGGTAAGCGATTTGAAAAAAAAATGGAACTGTAATTTATTCGTGGTTGTAATTCTGCTACTTGGAACATTTTATTATTCGCTTTCAGAATATCATGTGAACGACGGACTGAAAGATTGTATAGTTGCATATATTAAGTATCAGTAAAACGTTTTATTTATTTATAAGACTAAATGTGCTTGGTGAAATTTGGTACCGAAAAATCCCCCTTTGTAATTCTAAACTTATAATTCACTCATCTTTTATATTCCTCAAAATGTTATGGGTCTTTTTCCAGTTTAATCAGTGATTTACAAATAATTGCTATGCACCTAATAAAATAGACCTTAACTTGGCGGCAAAATTAGGAATAATATCTTTCGTATCACAAATGAATCTGTGGCAATTATTTATCTCCCAGAATCTCATTTTTCTCAGTGCTTGCTTTTCGACAGTAAAAACATACGCTTTTTGAACAACGCCATTAATATTTAATTAAATGATCCTACAATTGATTGACCTTTAAATAGTTTATTTTGTAAAAGAAGTGTTATAATTCTCTTTTATTACGACCCGGCTATTCCTATTGCTTAGTATTCTTGGGCACCAATCCACTTGACAATTCCCCAAATCAGAAAACAGTCGAACAGGAAGGAAATTATATTCCAAATAACAAGGGTAGATGGAAGTAAGAGGCACAATGAAAAAACAGTATATTTGTAGTTTTTACATGAGAATGATCTAGTCTTCCCCAAGTATCAACTAGCACTGATTGGATAAGAAACAGCCAATCAGCGTGCACCGTCACAATCGTGCATGGAACATGCTTTAATCCAATCTGTGTCCCGCTAACAAGTATTTATAATATCCCATTTTAATATCATTTTTCTAAACAAGTACCCAGTTTTATACTAAATGCCTAGTGCGAGCAGTTCAGAACAGCTGATTGCAATTATTCAATATTCATGTTCGAATCTGCGATAAGAACATTCATTTGGTTTATCAGAATTTCAAACTGAATGTTTGCACCGGGTTTGTTGACAGGTAATTCAATGTAACGATTTCTAACTTCAATGTACCACGTGTACTTAAAATTGGGACTTTGAAAAGTACGAATAAACCTATCGACCGTCAAGTTCTCATCTATTTGAAATGAATATCGTGATGCCTGTCTATGTACTGTATGAAACACATTCATTTTCAGTAAAGCTCAACTGTGAGAAAATCAGGAGCACGACATATTTCTGATCACATTCAGCCAGTCATTAAAACACAATTGTAAATAAATGATTTGTAATGCTGGAACTAGGATTAAGGTTTTAGCAATAAGATTTACAGTTATGATTGGTGCTCAAAACTCATCATTGTGATTTAAAATTATGATGTAGATTTTAAAATTTGAGTTTCGTGTTACAGCTATGATCAGGATGTAGGATTTAGGATTTATGGTTGCAGTTACAATCAGGGTTTGTGAGTAAAGTTAGAATTTAGTATTGGGATTAGGTTTTACGCTAAATATATATTTACCTTTATCCTAACTTTAAACTGTACATCCTAAACGTAAACTCTACATTTTGTCCTTAACCCTAACCTTAGGTATTTGATAGTGTTTTTGTCATCAGTACTAATCATCTGTGTTCGATAGATAACGTTCTATTTTGATAAGTGTGTCGTGACCTTGAAGCACCTCACTTGTTCTTTGTTGGTTCTTTATACTTCATCTTTATCATCATCTAACAATGTGAATAGGATATAGGTTTTTAATAAATTGACCGTGTTCTTATTTTACTTCATCAATTCTATTCCTTATTATGTTGCGCTACAATTGAATAATAGTTTAAACGAATGTGATGACCGCTATGGATATTTATTCTTGTTTATGCAGATTTTCAAAAGTCTGGTCGTCTTCTTAAGCAATGATCTCAACAACCTGTTAAAATCTTTGTTGCTAAAAAACATTTTACATAGCTTTAAATAATAAACAATATTTATTAAAGCATAAACTGATAATTTGGAGAAAGAACTATCTTTTGTAAAAGCTATACAAATTTATTTGTCGTTGGTAACGCAACTACAGACAGAGTTGTTTATTGGACACAGTGGGTTGATTATTTCCAGTTTATTGAAGTGATATCAAATGTTTTACAAATCTGCCAGTGAAATTCAGTTATTTATTTTCCTATTGTTGTGTCAGTGTCTTATGGGTACACTATTTCTCTTTTTTTCGAGGTGTTTATATTAAACCATGGATGTATGATGAGTCACTGAATTATCGTGAAGCCATTACTTCGCTGAACGAATTTGCAAGATTTTGTGACGAAGTAAGTTTGACTTATCATTATGTTTTTCATTAATGATAAGTACATACTTGTAGTGTTAGTAATGGCTGTATCAATGTAGAGGGTGAGGCAGTAGGTGGACTAAAAGTACACAAAGAAAAGCAATTAGAGAATAAATAAAGTAATGAGGAATACCAGGAAATGGATTGCTGTAGAATGATTAGGTATAGCTGATGTTGGGTAATTAACGCTTAATGCACAATACGAAGTTACTTATGTATTTCATCAGTCATGGTGGATTACTGACTAACAAATTCTCGACACGAATGTAAACAACGTGCTTGGCTTTTCACAATTTTCTATATCTAGATGCTTCATAAATGCTAGCAGGTCGGTTTAAGGCTTGAGACGGCAGTCATACTAAAGTATGACATTTGTGCATGGATGTATTGATTTCTAGTCTGAGCCATGTCGATCAATACAGACTTTCAGGTCAAGACTTCTTATATAATCGTGGTTCATGGTTGAAGACGTTGATTGATCAAGTCGAAGCTTTAGACAAGAAGTTTTAAGCCAAGTAGGCTGTAAAGGAACTTCAGTAATCGATTTTTAATGATAACCGATCGTTATCAGATTCTCATATTGTTCATTCTCTCGTCATTATAATTTAAAATTATGATCTTTCTCACATCTACAGACTAAACAATAAATTTTTGCATTTGATGGGGGGTGGGTCTGCCGTTTTTATACACAAACGTACCGTGCTTAATGCGTACCGAAATTCGATAAAAGCAATAATTTATGGTCCATGATAAGTGAATGTGATGATCTATAAACTGATGTCTTTGATGTGTGCTATTGATAAGTATTCCAAAAACCTAATAAATTGTACATATTATGATAAGTCCAAGTTATGGTGACAGGTGATTTGAACTCTTAAACTTGTATCTATTAGGTTACTAGCTCAAATTTAATCAAAACACTATCTATCTTTCAGGTAAAAAAATGTAACTGAAATTGTACATGTTCTGAGCCACGTTTATTTAGTTAACAGATTAATAACTACTAATGTCTACTCCCTTCCAGAATTCTCTATTTTAGTAATTCTTTCTTAGCTATTTGTTTCATGTGAGACCTAGTGTCATAACTCTCTGAATGTCGGTAATCATTGTAATCTTATTCCTAACACTGGTTATTTGTTCATTCTCACTTAGTTTCTAGTTTAACGATGCTCCGTTTATCTCGTTGTACATAAGATGAATAGTTAGTTTCTCGCTTCTGTCGTAGTTACGAAAGTCTCGATAAGAATGGTGTGTGTAGTATATTTAAAAGACGTTCTTCTGTTGCCAAGATATGATCCCATGATAGGTTAAAGTAGCTGTTCGGTGCTTCTTCAGTTTCAGTGACTGTCTAATCAATATCAGTCTGTGATGTAACCTATGAAATAAAAATGAAGTTTATTACCTTCAATTTACTTTAATCTATCACATTCACACTTGCTTCTACGTTTTTCCCATTTATCTAGGTTATGATAGTGGGTCCACTTTTTGCTTGTTCACTTGGTGGTGCTGTTTTTGTTCTACTTGGTTTGGTACGTTTGTATGTTTCTTTTTTATCTATTCTATTTATTTACACACTTCTTATTAAACATTTTATTATTTTAGTCTTGTTATACAAGATTATAGTAAAATTAACAGAATAAACTTATGGTGTAATTGAAGAGGAATTCAGACAATTCAAGGAGGAAATTTTTCTTTTCAAGAATATCATTTACCCTAGTTGTACAATCGTATTTATAATTGATTTACGAATTAAATAGTCTATTAAAAGACAGGAGGATGGTCACATCATATCATGTGTCAAAACACGTTGATTAATAATCAGAAATTGAAGTGAGGAGAGAGATAATTGGATGAAATCAGATGTGGGAAGGATAAAAATTTAGCTAAAAAGGTAAAGATTAGAAACAGAAGAATGTAATGAAATTGGATTACCATGTTAGGTGAACGGACGAATGATGGCTTACATGTGTCTCTTTTGCACACAGAGTTCATGTTTGAAAAGATGAATTACTAACCAATAAGATTTCTATAAAATCTAATGCGCATAATTTTGTTTTTATCAATATCATTGTAAGGTAGTATCATAACACAAGTCTGTCTCAACAGTCACATACGGACTTTGTTTTGCTACTGTTACAGAGATCCAGAATATTCCTCGAAAAATGCTTATATGGTCCCTGTAAATTCTGGGGAACATTTTACCCAATCAGCGTTAGATAGAAGTCTCTCAAGAACATTTGAAAAAAGAGTCACGTGTCACATTTCTGATTGAATGATTACCTACCCTGCTACTATGTTTAGTAGCGTTCAAGAAGCCTAATGTCATCTGAAATGCCATAAATACCCTAAATTTTCTGTACATAAACGAACCTTGAAGTAAAGCGTTCTCCCCATATTTCGCGCCATTTCGCTCGTATCCAGGTTGTCGTGTAGCCTGGGATTATTAGAAAAGCTTTGGAAACTGATTCAAACGTCCAGTCAGAAGATTTATCAACTAAACGATACGATTAGAAGCTGCACCTATTTTACAAGTCAACAGTAATGTCTGACTAACATCAAACTGTAAAGTGTACTAACTTTTATAGAAGTCTAACATAGCATTCTGCTTGAATAACGAATAACCCGAAATATTTTACCTTGTAATGAATCTTGTCAGAATTCGATAGACGTTTCGCTAACTTTCAATATACGAATTGGCCATGATTACTTTAGCTGATACCGGGCTGTCCAACCACTGTACATAAGTCAGGTGGAGTTCAGGCTAATCACATTATCTTTCTTAATCGTGATTGTATGAGAAGAGAGTTCTACTGAAAAATTAAGAGTGCAGTTGTGGCACGAGAAAAACTTCCTTTTGGTGCTTAAACAGACTCGTCTGGAAGGACCCATAAAGTCTGGCTGGGGCGGGCCAGAGTGTAGGCTATAAACTGTGCCGTAACTAATACACAGAGGTCAACACTAAATCTGCTTGTGATATGGATGTGAAGTGATCACATCGTCTATGACGACTTATTGATATAGTAATTTGAATACTTGATATTCATTCAGTAAAAATAATTCTGAGTTACGGCCTGAAGTGATTGCATTTATATCTATATGTACTCTATGCAGTGTATGAGCCTTGATTTATGCATTCTATATGTGCATGTATTGCATACTTGCGAACGGAAACTTTTAAGCCTACGGAATAATGGACAGAATTGCAACCAGTTCTAAAGGTAATTGACTGTTGGACTGGTGCAGACCTAGTTGATGTCCACACGATAACTTCGATCATTGATTAGAGATGTCGGATGGCATGTCTTATTATCGACCACAGCGGTACAGATACATTCACTCTTTGTTTTCTAATAGATCCTGAGTTTAAAGATTATCTTATGCCCGTTATTCTGCGAACTCTCTCTTTTCAAATTATTGTTCATCTCCAATCTTTTCTATTGTGATCGATACTGTTACTACTTCTGCTACTCTAATATTTGTCGTCAGACTTTCATTTCGCTTTCCTGATATAATATGGTAGCAACTTGCACCAATGCATATATATTTCAGCATCTGCATACTTATAAGTGAATGACTGAGTGACAAACTGTTTTTTCTCTGTAAATTGATTAATGTAAAAAAGTCTCACGTAATATCCTATACATTTGTTAACTGTCTTTTTATTGCTCCATTTTTGTTTGCCTTCACAGACTCTATTTGTTGGCTCGTTGTCAGCTTATTATACTCGATTAAAATTGACAAAAGAACTTACAGATTTCAAACAGAGCATTGCATTAAGATCACCCAAAAATCATGATCCATCAGCTTATTTTTAAATAGCAGAATCCCTACGTACTATTATTATTATTATGTAAAAATCTCGGTGTTGTAGACAATGAAAGAAAATATTTATAACCTTAATTAGTTTGTTTTTAAAGCAAAGTAGTGAAAATGCATTTTCTCAGTAGACAGAAAGATAAACAGGGAGAAGTGGGCACGGAAAAGAGGTGGGGAATATAGCAATGATTATGGTTTGTTTAAATTATTTTCTAATTTTATTTCTCACAGTTGTATACACTGTGTGCACTTTCCAATTGTTGTTCTACACACTTGACAATGTGCGATGTGTTCAATTCATTGTCTATTTGTTTGTTTGTATGTGCATTTTGCCTCTCTTATTTCCACTCAATAATGATAACTGTCCTATCTTTAATGTATATGATAGTATGTTTGGAGAAAAAGATAATAATTTGATAAAGTATTTTTGTTTAACTGCTATCAGTTATAGTAATAAAAATAATTATGAGTACCGTGTATTTTGCTCCATACTCAATATGGATATATATATATATATATATATATATATATATATATATATATATATATATATTACTCTAGTTTTTAATATGTGTTCTATGTTTACTCTATATTCATTTGTTTGGCTTTCGTTTTTATTTTTGGCCTGTCCTTATCATAGGATATTCCATTTTATCTTTTATATACTATTTGTATTCACTAAATGATGAATTATGATTTTGGTACAACTAGTCAATAACTTAATAATTAGTATCTATGTATATGCGAACACGAACATACGCTCCATCTATCTCCCTCTTCTACATTTTCGTTTACATTGTTAATCAAGATCATATATATGTATTTTATGTATTGAATAACACAATAATAATCGTGCTATCTTGTCTGACTATCGCATATAGTTTCTGATCTACTGCACTTTGCCTATCTATTCATTTACTCTGCTTTGTTTTGTTTTTTCTATCAACCCAGTAAGAATGATACAGGATAAACTTTTAACGACATAAACATATTTTTATATATTCAATATATCTCAGTTATTACTACCATTATTCGCTATTTCACTTATTTTCTCTTGTCATTATCATTTATACTGTCTTTTTTCTACAATGTCATAAGTACAACTTTTTTTAGAATGAAATAATTTCCAATATTTTATTTTGCATTTTATTTTGTTCAATTGGTTGATAACAGCAAACTTAAATTTGAAGAAACAAGTATTATCACCAAGTATTTAATTAAAATGACACTAGTCTCGTTGTTCAATTATTTTCATCATAATTCAAATAAGGATCTCATAATTATTTCTTTATGTATGTGTGCATGTATGTATGTCTTTTTTTGTAAAGTGAAGTTCTTGAAAGTTTCAGTAAAAAAAAGAGCATTTTTGGATCAATTTTTCCTCTTTGTTTACATAAGTGTATACTCAAACTCAAAAAAAAGTTTACTTCAATATTCCATGATATTTGTTATTATTAGAATTATCACTACTATTACTGCCACTACTACTACTACTATGGTAAACTGGAACTTCGAATTACTATTCTTTGATTTGACTTTACGTTTGAGATATTCATATGAAGAGAAAATCAATGCATTTGTGGTGTACTCCCTTTTTTTGATTTTAATCACATAAATAAATTATTCTCATTATGTTAACTCTCTTGTTTCATTTGTAATTATCAATAATTCACAAAAATTCCAATGGTGTTGTTACACCGGTGAGAAGTTAATCTAACATCGTACAGAATTCCCAAGGGGAAAGATTAAGTTTTAAATTGTTTTAAAATGTTAGAATCGTGATATGATGAACTAACTCGAAAATATGATCGATCCACAGAATGCGAATGAAATAAATCACAGAATCCTTAAGAATATTTCCTATGAAAACGATCATATCCAATTGTCAGTGTTTCGTTTCAGATTTGAAGCATAAGTGAGATTTAAAGTGGATTAAGATAACTCGTTTGTGACAGTAGTAGTGCAAGTAGGTTTAGTTAAATAAGTCCTCCATATTCGTGCAAAATTTTCATCATTCTATCAGCGTGTAATTCTTAGTATAAGTAACTATTGACAGCTCAGCTGCTGCACTATTTTTACCAGAGTGAAATGACTCTGCATTCAACGGATATGAAACGCATCCCACCTATTTTACACTGATTCATAGCATCCACAAAGTATCTTTGTCATGAATATTCGCTTTGAAAGAACTTATCAGTGAAATTGTATTTTTGTGGAGCTTCACTCTCACGCATGGCTGGTAAGAATGCTTGCTTTTTACGGAACCAAGTTCCATCAAGCGTTAATAAGAAGTTATTTATTGTTTGTACAATATGTTGCAAATTGGATGGCCAAATCAGATTATTATTTTTATCTAACTCTCCACTTCTATACATAATTTGATTAACTTAGGTTTTTCCTAAGAATGATAACTCCTCAGGGTTGTTGATAGATATGGAGAAATAGTTCCGAAAGGTTATTTTCGTGTAATTAAGCAAATTGATAGGTAGACTTGATTGTTTAGTGTCGAATATATTTAGTACATAGAAAAATCTGTCTTGACCTAACGTATGTAGGATATCCCTACATTTGAGTTAAAGGCTTCGATCTTTTAGTGTTGAATAAATTTAATCAGAAGGGGTTTGTGGAGATTTTAGAAATTTTCACAGATTTAAATCATGGTCTAGCTTCAACTGACTCATGATTTAAATCTGTGAATAAATTTAAGTTCTGAAGTCCAAAATATGGTTCTTAGGGTTAGTGATTTGACATCATAACGTCTTTTAGTTGATAACGTGTAGTTGCAGGTTTATTAAGTATCCATTTGATTGAGTCTCGATGCTCTTGAAGTGACTGTTCCTCACTTTGTAAACTCAGAATCACATGTTCATAAATAAAATGGACTATGGTGTTGAGCTACATAGTTTTCAGATCACACACCAAACTTAGTAGAAATTTATCGATAGTAAACAGTATGATATTTTTGGTGCTCTTCGACAATATTTGTACTATAGGTCATTTGTCGAGCTTAAATGTTATGTCTGACTGCAATGTTAAGTGACACGAATTAAAATCTTCAATAGATCATTGGTTTTCTCGTCAAATGGATGCTTTGCTTAGTTATCATGGTTTCCATTCATTATCTCCCAACACTATTGAACCAGTAAGTATGATATTAAGACTTCGAAGGGAATTACAAGTAAACCACATATCATCATTAGTGAATATTTGAAAATGTGAATGACTTTAAGTTACTCAAGAATGAAACCTAGCGAATTAATGAGAACATTCTTCCGATTTTAAAGCAGTTCATTGAACGAATTTTTGTCTAAGAATAAACTGATATTGCTTGAATATCGTTTTAACTTGGAATAGATGTATATAATGTCTTCATTAAACTGAATAAACACATAAACTGCTTATAAAATTTCAAGAATGGAATTAATGTGGAAAATTCATTTTTATGCTTAGGTTGATACATTCGTGAAAGATTGGATGTCGTTTTTTCCGTCGAACTAATATCATTTCTACTAATCACTTCATTCTTAATAGTTGCATTGATATTTTCAAATAAATAGATTTTAATGTGTTACCCATTGAATCAAACTGTATATTACTGTCATATATAAAGGAAAAATTCTCTTATTCATTGTTTTTCTTCTAATTATTTACATTTAACAAAAATAGTGTAAAAAAAATCTTTATATAGTTTATAAACTCAGCTCACAGTTAGACTATAATCACGAGTAATTCTATTGAGTTTGTGATCTAATTAGATTTTCTTTTGCCCTAAGCAGAATAAATATAGTGACAAAACAGTTACTATGATAATAAGAATGTACTTTTATTTAATAATATTTGAATATATAAGGTCAGAATATTTCTAAACATAAATGAGTTGTTTACTCATCTAAACATTTCATTTTTTTTCTTTAACCTATTTTTCTATAAATCACATAAATTCTCAAACATCTCCAATGTTGGACTAATTACATTTTATGAAATAACACATAGAATTTGATTAAAGTACACAATTTCTATTGAAGAAATTATTTTTGCTACTATAAGTTCTAATTTAGCATGCTATGATAGTTATTGAGTTTTGACAGTATTGATATATATATCAAGGTATATAGTAGTTAATTGACAAATATGCACAAATCATAAACGAAACAAGTAACTAGTTGATTGTTTCTGATAGACTTTATACGGAATATGCAGTAGTACAAAAAAAGTGTTATTGATGAAAATTTAATTTAGATTGAATAATTCCATGCAATACCTTATTTTGATAACAATCTTGTGTTCAGTAATGAATAACGTTGTAGTAGATTTACAAAATTTTAATGGAAACCTATGGTGATTGATGAAGTTCATTAGATGTTAGAAATAAGAAAAATATCACCAAAAATAATTGATGGCGATTGCGCTTTATAAAACAGACTAAAGCATAGATCATTGAATTATGACTCAGTGATCTAAATTTATGATGCTCTCAACGGTACCTGGAAGTCATACATTCAATTCTTTATGGGGTCATAATTCTGCACTATGATGAAATCTTAGTTACTCTGCAAAATAATCTAAACTGTATAGAACTATCAATTCAGTCCATTTAGCTTGAAAACAAACTATTATTTCAACTTCATTTAAGGTCATTGTGAGTAAATTGTTATTAAGAAAAATTATATATATATATATATATATATATATATATATATATATATATATATATATATATATATATATATATATATATATATATATATATATATATATATATATATCCTACAAAAAGTTTTGGATATATATTGTAATAATCGATTGCGTGGATATCAGAATTTAATAGCATACAATTCCAGATGCGCACTGCTGAGGAGTCTCTTATTACGACGAAACGGCCGTCCAGTGCTTCCAGGTTTTCCATGGTGGTCTAGCTTCAACTGACTCATGATTTCAATCTGTGAAATTTCTAAAATCTCCACAAACTCCTTTTGATAATTCCAGAGATATTAGAAATATTACAATTCTCCATTGATGTGCCTTGGTTCAAGTTGTTTAAATCCACAATAACAGGAAAATTCATGTCAACAACAATGGGGAAATATTAAAAAATGGAATGTTAACAAATAGCTGACATATAGTAGTATAAGACAATTACAGAGTGGATGATTACTATAGATTCTTATCGATATCATTATTATTCTGCGGTATTAGAACACAATTAATATTATCATAATGCATGTAGGGAGTGCAACAATGATTTTTGTTTACGTTGCTATTTACACTTGTATTGTTTGAATGTGTTCACCAACTCCAATGCTGCGAAAAGTCAACATGTGTGACTACGATTTATGTTTCTAATGGTTACAACGCTCCAACTAATACCATAGTGATACGTTTGAAATAATAAATAAGAACTAATGTAGTCTAAGATATTAACACTGATTAACTGCCGTTCATTACCATGCATTAGTGGTACTATGCTTTATGAGCGCACCAATCAGATTAAAAATAACGGATTTGGGATCATTGGGTTAAATTCAAAACTCTATGACATACAATCTGTACTGTTTGAAAAGTTAAAATTACTTATATTTGGTTCATAAAAAGCTTGGAGAGCGTAAAGATTATGATCATCAGACTATCGTCCATATGAGTTATTTACTCTACTTCATAACTCGTGTTCGTATTAAGAATATTTAAACAGCTTTGTCATTATTTAAAAATTATTTTTGGCTTTATTGAGGTTTTGAAGGTAAATTATACTGAAGTCATATAAAGAGATTTTTGTATATCATTCCCTTCATTTTAAAACCTGTTAATCCTTTACGAACTCTGATAAATCTATTCATCAAAAAGAAAGTATATACATATTATAAATTATCAGGTTTTACATAAAAAAAAGATTATTTATTTATATTATCTGCATTTCGATTGGCTATAACGTCGCTTAAGATTGTTCATAAAATATAATGACTCGCACCCTTTCATACAAAAAAAACGTAATATCTATGATGAAATACTTCTTATTAGTTTCTATGGGAAATAATTAATGATGGCACAGAAAAAACGATCTATTAATACAATTAATTTACAGATTTAAATCATGAGTCAGTTGAAGCTAGACCACCATTGAAAACCTGGAAGCACTGGACAGCCGTTTCGTCCTAGTATGGGACTCCTCAGCAGTGCGCATCCACGATCCCGTACCACGCGGGGCTCGAACCCAGGACTTACTGGCTTGGCGCGCGAGCACTTAACCATTAGACCACTGAGCCGGCATCCAACAATGTTAATGTCTAACTACAACCAATCCACGAAGTTGCGCCACCATATGCCATTGTCTTCAGTGAGCTGATATCTCACAACAGACCTGGTTGTACTCCACTGGTGACGGCTTCCCACTAGAACTCCAGGAGTATCTCTTGAAGTCAGTCACTAGTGAAAATTTCTAAAATCTCCACAAACCCCTTCTGACAATTAATTCAATCTAAACAAATTCTTTACATAATTACAACTAACCAATCCTTTATACAAGAATAAAGAAAGAAAATACAAATTATATAAGTGTGTATTTCATAAAGTATATATACCAACAACATAATTTGATCTAATCATAATTTTACATTTGAATTCGATAATTCTGATTCTAAGTT